TACATTCAGTTCTAGAGTGTAATCTGTAAAAACAGCAGGATTGCTGATGTTTTAGATGCAAGATGCTGAAAAACACATTTATGCTTTTTTCAACTAGATTACAGATATGCTATTACTTTAATTCTCTCTTCCAAAACAGTCAATTGAAAAAAGTTAACTTATTCAGGACTGTACTGTTAGCCTGATATGATAAAGTATATCATATATTTTAGCCATACTCTATTTACTCCCAGTATCTTCACACTTTTTGTTGTGTTATAATTCTTCACTAGCTCTCAGATCTTGTGCTGCTGGGTTTTTAAATACACATAACTACGCAATTATAAACACAAGGATATGGTCAGTTTTTTAGCTGCATTTTGTTGAATGCTGATTCAATGCGGATGGCTCTTGGAATTCTTGAGAGAGAGCAGAAAACAATTTCTTAATAATAAAATTAATAAAAATAAAACAATTTCTTTAATTTAACCTATAGTGATTATATAGTTTTTCTTTAGCAATTCTCTCATTTACATTATTTTACATTGTCTATTTTTTTTATTTCAATTAAGTTTTTTTTATAGCATTTACTGTCTTTCTATTTTTCCTTTCTTTTTGAAAGGCACTCCATGTCTGGTAAGCATTATTATTAATACTATGTGATCATCAACACTCACACATAGCTCACACTGCTAGATTCTGTCGAACTATGTAATGACTGTTGATAATCAATGCTTATTTTCCAAATGCATGACATATTATTGTGCTATAGACAGTTGATTTCTGACCTGGCGAATTCTCTTTTCCTCTTTGTACTGCGTCCAAACCACATTGTACATCTCATCCAGGCCCTGTCGGGTCTGTTTGTATGTCTCCAGCTCCACCTGGCTGTCCATGAGGGCGACCTGGGAAAACAAAACATCAACATCATACAGTATAGGTCTTTTTTTTAGGTTAGGTGAGGTTTAGTGAGTGACTGGTGGATTCTGACCTCTTCCTTTTTCTGACTGGACTGCACGATTGTCTCATTCTCCTTTCTCAGATGTTCCTGTTCCTCCCGCAGGGAGTTGATTCGGTCTGTCGCTGCCGTCAGCTGAGGGCAAGAAAACACACGCATGGTGGTTAAACCAACCTTACGCACTCCAGACATTGGATAGGAATGCCTTCTAACACAGTTCACACCTCTATTACAAGCTTGCTGTTGGTCTTCTCTATAGAGTCCATCTTAGCCTGCAGGTCAGTGACGGTGCCACTTAGGTGTCGATTCAACTCCTCAATGTAGTGCTTCTGATCTAGTATGGCTGTCATCTTTGAATCGCTGAAAGGGAAAATATAAAACTGTTCAAGATTTGAACATGCATTAGGTCTCTTTTGATTCTTCCTGGGGTTAAAACAACAACAAAAAATATCATAAATCGGCTCAAACATGATCATGAAATCCATCTGAAAGCATGAACTCACTCTTTTGGAGTCTCACTGTTGGCAGTGTCTTTCAGATAAAGGGAAAAGTCAATAACTCCAACCTAATAGGAAAAGAGAAACAGATCACTGTGTTTAACCCTACATTTTCTCAAAGATTAAATTAGGTGTGACTGGGATGTGTAGGCCCATAAAACCTGTCAGCACTCACCTGAGAATCGAGATCCTCCCCTTTTATACAGAGGTTAGCGTCAATTACATTGAGGCCTACCAGCAGTCCCCCAATCACAGCCCCCTCGTCCTCCATCATCATTGCTCCAGAGTCATAAAACTCACTAGAAGGAGAAAGACAAGGAGGGATTAAAGGAAGCGTATGAGAGGATAAGAATGCATGGAAAATGTGGAAAATGCCCCAACGTAATCCTTAAACATGTTAGCATTCTAGCATTAAATAACGGTTATAATAAACATACAAAATGTCAGGCTACTAACCTCAGGAGATCTTTGCGGTCCAGCAAAGCTTTCATATAGTCAGCTACAGTCTTCTGCATGAGCGCTAAATGTAGCCAAGCCCTTCCTCTACCCAAGCCGGTCCTGAAAAGAAGAATAAGTAAACATTTAACAACCAATCGTCAAAATACTGTTAGTCATTTTTTACATTGTAGGTATACTGGAGAGTTGTAATAGCATACTTAATGCCGGGCAGGTCTCTGGCACTTGTGGCAATGTTAACAGACTCCGGACACAACTTCTCAACAAGTTCCAGAGGTCCCCATATGGACTTGTTCTGACCAATGAAGGATTTCTTAGCTGAAAAAACAAATCCTAATAGTCATTTATGCTTTCTCTGGTACTGATATGGAATCATTAAAAACTAATCCTGTCAAAGGTCAGCCTGATGGACCATCTCACCTTTCAGCCCATGTTTGAGGCAATGTTCCAGCACGACAAAGAATTGCTGCAAAGGAGGGTAATCCGAGTCCAGCGTCCTGCCCAAACTCAAGGAGGACTGAATTAATACTTTGATGCTCAGCTTCATCATGCTGAGGAGGTTGGATCTTTCAATAGCCATGGGGTCTTTGGGGGGCAGAACTGTAAGGAATGCAAGGAAAAAGGAAAAGCATTGCAATAAGATCAGTCACACAGATGCCGGTTAGGAGGAGATGTTTAAGACATGCATGCATGTCTTAAATTGCAGGATAAATACTAGATGTAGTGAGAGGGGAAACAGCTTTATCTTGTCCACGCTCATTAACCCCTGAAATCGATGTTTTGCTTCTGAAGTCATGTGTCCTGACAGCTGACCATCAGTTTACAAGAGGAAGTGAGATAAACTTGATACCTGCGTGATTTATGAATGTTAGTTTGAGTGCAAAAGTTAGTTGTAGTGTCAGCTTACCTGGAAGTTTTTTTGAAGTGTTGTTGAGGTCATTTTCGGACTTCCTCTCCGTCGGGGCGCTCTCAGCAGAAGGGTTTCTCGGGGCAGCAGCGTAGCTTACCCCGCTGCTAATCGTCTCCGTGGCCTTCCGAGCCAGAGACAGGATGGGAGCCGACCAGCTGCTCTCTGCCACCGCAGGAGACGCCTTCTCCGGCCTCTCCGGCTCCTCGCTGCAGCCGGACTCGAGGTCGGGTGCGGCTTCAGAAACTTCTGACTCATGTAGTTGTTGTTCTGCTTCGCCATCTTCAACAGCTGTGTTTACTTCCCCTGCCTCGTCGGCCATGTTTGTCCCCCCTCCCCTTTCCCCGAGTAATCACGTGACCACAGCAGAATGGCGCGCTGTGAGAACGTTATTCTTCTTCTTTGGTATTATTGGCGGTTGAGGAGTCAGTTCATTTTGCACTACCGCCTCCCATTGGATTATACATAACAAAAATTCAGCCCTGTAAATCCTACAGTTTAACTAGGTTAATCTTGAAGTCTTGACCCACTTTAAAGCCAGCACTAAAGCCCCCTACCCACAGAAGACACTTAATAAGTCACTGTAGAACAATACAGGTGTACATGATGAAAGTAATGATAAATACCATTTAGGTGCTCCAGTGTTAGGGTACTGGTATTTTGCATTCTATCACACTGGCACACAATATAGAGGCTATGAATTATACTATATTCCAAAAGTGTTGGACAATATAACAGTTACACTACTCTCAAATAGCTCAGTTTCTCCTGTAGGCCTTAGAAATAGAAAACAATGAATATCCATTATTTTACATTGTTTTATAAAATATTATGTTATGTTCCAGACTTGTGAATACATAATCTTACACATATTAAAAACATGAGTATATTTTAAACAATATTTATTAACAGTATTTCAGTGTTGCCTTGTCTGATTTTACAGTAAATAGTCTGATTATTTGCTCTGAAGTAGTCTATAATGGTCACGGTAATGTCACTATTGGTATCATAATGCTAACCCTATACACCCAACTTGTTAAATCTCACTCTAGTAACATTAAATTGAGACATTTGAGACTGAATTGAGACAAGTACCACTGTAGTCCTCTGTACACTCAGAGCAGGTGTGATGTAGTTCCTAGTTTCAGCACCTGGTGGCGCAGACAAGCTGTGAGTTTTTCGCCTGAAGAACATCTTTACTTTAAGATCTTTAAGGTGCTCTCATCTTTAAGGTGCTCTCATTATTTATAGGCCTTTAGAAATTCACCAATCTAGTTTGGACCGTACAGCTATTATTGTTGGTCTGCACGCTATTATTGGTTGTGTCAGCCAACCATTTTTAAATATCACAAATTATTTTTACTTTAAATGTTTGTGAGGTCTACTTTGCACTTTCACACTGAATATTCTTAGCCTGGAGTGCAGTGTGAAAAAAGCATTATGTGTGTACGTATGTGTTTGTAGCCTTAGGGCCCTCATCTGGATTCAATAACAACACATCCATCCCTAGCCTTATGCAGATTGAAAGTGTGAGTGAATGGGTGGATATAGGTGAAGTAGTAACATTTAAACACCAACAAAAGTTGTAATAGTTTAATATCTATGTGTGTGTGTGTGTGTGTATATCTGTATGTCTATCTATCTATCTATCTCTCCCTCTCTATCTATCTCTCTATCTCTCTCTATCTATTTATCTAATAACTATCTGTCTATCTACCTGTCTGTATGTATGCCTGTCTGTCTGACTTTTTGTCTGTCTGTCAAGTCTGTTGTAAGTCAAGTGCTATTCAGGTAGGCTAGGTAAAAGTGAGAAAAAATATAGTAGCCTACATAGGCCTGATGAATTCCTAACACACTCCATGGAAACTTAGAAAGGATGTAGCCTACATTAAAAAGGCGAGAAACATCTCCTTAATAATTAATACCTTAGTAATGCTTACCACTGCAGCCATCAGAGTCTACTTTTTCTCATTTGGCCCTACATAATGTAACTGCACACCAAAGTGATTTAGCCTGATAATCCATGAATCAAAGCACTTATGTTGTTACATTTTTATAAAATAAAACACTCTTTGTACAGTATATTCCTGTGCCTTGCATGTCACAGCAGCAGTCTCTCCTACTGTAAAGCTCAGCCTCTGTAGGCGTGGTGAACTTAAGGCAGCAGGCCATAAATACGGAGCCTCTGTCCGGGCTCTCCTTCACTCTGCGCCTCTCTCACTGCAACATCCGGGAAACTCCAGCCCTCTCAAGTAACGCCAAGTGTTCGCAAACAGGCGGAATTAATTCAAACGAAAAAATAACCAAAAAAAGCGAAAAGAAAGGAATATTTAGAGCCGGATCAAGAGAAAGGAATACAACTCGTACATCGTCGTATTTTTTTTCCTGATAAAACTTCCGGGACGTTTTGACATCATGAGGATTTTCAGTGCTGTGCTCTTGCTGGTTCACGCCTTGGGTGAGTTTCATGTGCGCACATTTTTGGATAACAATGTATCTTTCTTTTAAGTTGCATATTCCGTTTAATATCACATTTCTAGCTGTGTGACATCTTGCTTATAACACTTCTCTAGTATGTCTTGTAAACTGTAAACCGGTTTTCATGATGCCAGGCTATTCGGGAGCTAGTGGGGTCATCTCTCTATTTTAGAGCATGCTTTATGTAACTGGATACATTTATTTTTAACTTATATTCTTGCCTGACATTAGCTAACTGTCTGTAAATGCATTTCATGTGTGTGTACGTACGAGACACAGGGATATGCCAACTTCTATTTGCCCTCCCACTACATTTCCCTTCCAAAGACCTTAAACTGTCCCACAGAGGAAGGGCCTGGCTTATTAGTTCAAGACCCACTTTTCCGAAGTGCAGCTGAGCAAGGCAGTGAATACCTACCAACCCTTAAAGATCATACTTTGTATCAGAGTTTGTCCATTTCCTTACAGGGATCAGTAAGGTTGCACTGAAAGCCAAAAAGCCTGCCTGGAGCTTCCTTGCTCAAAACATGTTTCAACTTGCCCTCATAGTTCCTCCCACCTTGGCTCTCTAACCTGTGTGCATTAATTGTTCCCTAGGGGAAGAGTTTGTGTTAGGACTATGCCAAACCAAACTTAGATGAAATTTAACCATTCTAAACACTTTTATTCTCTCCTACAGTGGTGTCCAGAGGGGTCAGTGGAGCTGCGGTCGACAGGTATGAGAGCGACCGGCAACGGCACACAGCTGTTATCAACTTGGACACGACCAGAGGCAGGAGGGTGGAGGAGGAGAGCAGAAGCATGAGTGCTACTACAGCGGAGTATGGTCAGCAAGTCGACGAGGAGGATTATGAAGATTATTACGATGAAGAAGAGTATGAAGATGGCATGTCTGGGGACTATGATGAACTGCCACGAGGTAAGGGAGTTTGTCATTTCTCAAATTCATCACACAATTTTACTTTAGTCTCAACAAAGATTAATATATTTTTGTTTTCTGTTTTCTGTTTAGTTGCAATGGTAAGCAAACCAAAAGACCCGCTTGCCATCCTGGAGACTGAAAACCCAGAAGGAAACAGAAGAAGAGGAAAGGGAAAAAGGAAGGGGAAAGGCAAGGGAAAGAAGAGGAATCCTTGCCTGAAGAAGTATAAAGATTTCTGCATTCACGGCACCTGCCAGTACCATAGGAGCATCCGCGCCCCATCCTGTGTGTAAGTATCAGCTCTGCAGACATCTACACACCACCTCCCACACTCAGAGTCCAACCAAATGATTAATGATTCCCTCTCTGTCCTGTCTGCAGGTGCCACCAGAGTTACTCTGGGGAAAGGTGTCAGTTTTACACGTTGCCCGTGGAGAAGCCCCAGGAGGGCTACAACAGGACCACAGCTCTGGCGGTTGTGGCGGTTGTGCTGTCATCTGTGTGCCTCACCATCATAGGCCTCTTATTGTTGCTCAGGTAAGCAAAACACAAAGATTCACTTGCAAACACACACTGGCCACTATACACACATAGATAAAGGGTTTTTCAGGCAGCTTAGCTGATACTTGCCACGGTTAGACACTGAAAATAGTCTAAACAAGCCCCTTTTCTTTTGTGGATTACAGGTTTCACAAGCGGGGAGCGTATGATGTAGAGAATGAGGAGAAGGTCAAACTAGGGTTAGCTTCCAGCCACTGAAGAGACAAAGACAGGTGAGTTGTGAGGAACATAGAGACATACACTGACACTAACACTAACATCTTCATTTTTAGTTTTTTCGTTGCCTGAATGAAATAAGGTTTTACTCATTGTCTCTCTCTTTGTTTCATTTTAGGCAAAGATGTGGAAATTCTACCTCAAAATAGAAAAGGAGAAGTGAACTGCGAAAGGAGGTCCTAGAGGGAAAAGGATTGTACATGAAGAAGGGAACTGAGGTTGTCGTCTGCCTTGACCCTATGTAGACACTCAGATGAACAATGGGCAGAGGAACATATTCCTGAAGGCCTCAGAAGACGCTGGCCCAAACTGAAACTGGAATACTAACGGCCCAGAGGACGGACTGGAGATGTGAGCACGAAGGAACGAGAAGAAGGAACGTGTCTTGACTCTGTGCTGCTTCGTGACTGTGTGAGAAGAGGTCGCTTCAGACTGAACTGAGCAAGATTTTTAACAAAAGCATTTTGTATTTTCATGCACAAGTCCATTTCTTTTTGTGTACAGTCAACGTTATATTTATAATTTTAATTTATTTATTTAAGCTTACTGTATTTATAGAGACTTTAACCACCTTCAACCGTTTTGAAAATAATGATGTTACAGTTGTTTTTTTATATTTCTTATTGGACAATATTTATTTATGAAACAAAAAGCAAACAATGCAGAAGCTCTTTGAGATATTCAGTAAAGAGATATGATGCATAATCATCTCATAAAGGCTTTAATTCACTCAGATGATCAATTGCACTGTGATTATTACATTGATCGTTAAATAGAGAATCGTTTTTTTTAATTAGTCAGGGTAGTTTCATTAAGTGCAAGGAAAGCCCTGCTCACCCTGACACAGTTACACATATTTATACCTGGACACTGCAAAGTGAAACTGGGTGGATGAGTCAGCAACAAGGCAGCTCTGCCGTAGAAGTTGCTCAAAGGCACATCAGCGGTGATAGTATATAGGCTGGTTTTCCAGCCCACACGTTTAAGGATCTTTAGTCCACCTTAGGCCTAGATGTATGCCTTAATGTAATAAGGCAATGCGTTGCCCTGGCATATATTGATTACAGGCAAATTAAAAACTGCACTTAGCGACTGAATTGCAAAAAAAGCCTTTCAAAGAAAATCAAATATCAGATGCACTGTAACAGGAATTTGGTATAAATATGTTGTCATGTTGTCTTACCATCATTTGAGGAGAAACTCCCTCAGATCTATGTTAAGCTGCCAAGCAAAGAAAAATGTGAATCAAAGTGTTCCACCCTTTCAAATCTTGCAGTTTTGAAGTGATTTTTATTTATGTGATTTTTTTTCAGATCAAAATAAAGAGAAGGATTATCAGAATTTTGGACTCATGTAGTTTTCTCTGCATTGCATCAAACCAACGCGTTCTTGGCATTAATACGAGTCACACATGTTTTTCTTGCAGATTAGTTGGGTAAGGTCAAGTTTATATTTGCTCTTCAGTTCACTTCCTGAGTAGGCCCACACATTAACGTGATATTTTAAAGTGGCCGGTCTGACTTTTGCTCCATTTAGGAGCTTTAATTATAGTAAAAATAATATTTTAATTTCCCCAGTCCCTGACGTGTGAGCCGTGAGGCACCTGTATCCTGGCCATTAGTACTATTATGTTCAGAGATCAAAAGGTCATTTTGAAATGGTGTCACAACACCTTTCTAGTTTATTATGTTACATATCTGGATATCAATGTTTGATCACTATTTTCATTCCAATTGTATTGTTTCAAATGGTCTTTTAAATTCTAGTGTTTCCCAGAGTCCTTTGGACCAAATTAAAAAGAAGACACCATCAGTTTCATGTGTTGACAAAAGCGTCATGAGGCTCGCTGACAGATCAATCCCACTGAGTGCGGTCAGTACTCTCTTACCGCTGTGTGATCGTAGCGAACCACGGGGAACAGATGTGCGGCATATAGGCCGGGGAACACCTGATATTGAGCCACAACACATCATGCCACAGCACCACACGCCATTACTCACACAGCCAACAGATGTCAGCTTCAAAGACACACCACCAAGTATAACATCTGAAACATCAACCAGCCCTGAATGCCAAGGAGTTCAGAGAGACCACATACGGCAAATACTAGCAGGATGCAACAATGCTGTCATGTATGCCTCACACAGATTTAATGGTGGGTAAGGAAAGTCAAAAGACCCAGCTGGAATCAAAGGAAGGCTGAGCCCCAGCCAAATGTTAGTCACCCCTTGAAGTCACCTCCTACACGGATGTTGTTACACCGACACTGTGTGTGTGTGTGTGTTAGTGTTAGTGTGTGTGTGTGTGTGTGTGTGTGTGTGTGTGTGTGTGTGTGTGTGTGTGTGTGTGTGTGTGTGTGTGTGTGTGTGTGTGTGTGTGTGTGTGTGTGTGTGTGTGTGTGTGTGTGTGTGTGTGTGTGTGTGTGTGTGTGTGTGTGTGTGTGTGTGTGTGTGTGTGTGTGTGTGTGTGTGTGTGGGTTACAGGGGTTAACCGAATCCCTCCAAGCTAAAATCTAAAAGCTAAATAGTGTTTACATGTTTGCAATGGGATTGTTTCAATGCTGTTTGTGGCTTTGATTCCCATACTTTCTATATTATACTGATTAAACAAGATACTGTAGGGCTAACATGTTCACACTGGGGAATGGTAGTTAAAGACAGATGTGCAGCTGAACCATAAGGGTGTGGCACCTGATTCAGGACTTCGCACTCTTTATACCATCATGGGGAACCAAAAAAACAGCAGTTCAGCATTTATTCTTCAAAATACTTTGATCTGGAAAATGTAAACCCTTAGATTATCCGACAAAAACGTATGGTCACAAAGCTGACAACAGACCTTTGGCTTCATTAAAGCTTATTATTATGGACATACTGTTTATGCTTTTCAGGGTACATCAGCAATATGCTGACGACCATGTTTTCTCTTTCACAACTAAATGTGACATATACACAGTTTTCCTATCTGTGTTTCTCCCAAGGTTTCATGCGCACTACGTATATGTTTCTGTGTTTGTATTGTATGTGACAGGGGTTAGTCATTCACAGTATTGGAGCCACCTAATCCCGGCCTCTCGATGTCAAGTAGCAGAGCACACAGAAATAGTGCCGTGCAGTCATGCTCACATAGCTGCTATTCCCGGGGCCGATGGCCACCAAAGAACCAGAATGCACGGAGAGAAGAGTTCGCTGCATTCTGTTTCTCAGTGGCCTGGTGGACCACAGCCAGGAAATTATGTTCAGCATGGAGGGCCATCATTAGGCATCAGCGTTGCACCACTCCTGAATTTTCCTTGTAGGGTCACAGTAACAGCTCCGCTGCCACTTGTTCTCGCCTTCTGAGTGCTCGTGAATGTTCCTAGAGAGACTGGAAGAGGTTGTTTCCACAGCAGGAGGAATTTCCTTTCAAGTTGGCCAAAATGCATTAGAAGTGGCAGATTTCATTGCATGCAACACTCTGTGGGAATTGCCAGTGTGCCAAGATTGCTATGTTTTAGAATTGTTTTGGAAGCAGTTTTTTGGTCAAGGTGTGCTCACCTAAACTCATATCACTTATTTTGTGATTCAAATTGATATTTAGTAGCAATAAAAAATGTTAAAGATATACATTTATGAAAATAAAGTTTACATTATGCATGTTGAAGGTTGTTTGCCTCCTGAAGGAATTTTAGCCACCTAATATTTAACTAACTAATAAGATTAAAGTTGATTAGCAAAGTAAACCACTGTTGTCTTGATATTGCCAAATAGACTTGAGTAATCGGATGATACAGAGGTTGTATTTGATTGGATCACTGTGAGGATTCTGAGTTTGTTGTGAAAGGTGCTTCCTGCCCCGCTGAGGAGCAACAATGGGTTGTTTCCCCACTGATATGGAAGTGCGCACGCCAACAGTTGGAAATACAATTATTTTCTGACCGGATATCATCAACAGGAACACATTATTACCCAAAATTAATGAGTGTTGGTCAGAATTAGCCGGAACAGTTAGTAATTTCCGCATAAATAAAATGTGTTTGCATGGGTGAGTTTATGCTGTATATTTGTTGCATTATAATAGCACATACTAAGATCTCCAACTGCTCCTGTAATGTTTAATGAACCGCCAGCGAAGCCCCCATGTGCACCTCAGGCCTGATTAATGAGGTGATAATAACAGCGACAAAGTAATTGTCGCATGACATAAAGAGGCTGCGATAGATCATTGTGGTGTCCAGTTTACACGGTGAGGACAGCCAAAGGAGGAGAGCATGAGGGCGGGGAGGAGGCCAGGAGTGAAGAGGAGTTAGATAAGGTAGATGTGGTAACATGAGAGGGGCAGCGAGAGATGATGAAGAGTGGGTCAAGGTGAGAACTCTTACTTAAGAAGCTACAAACTTATCTTCACCAGCGTGTGGATAAAAAAGATTATGGAAGTGCGGCGTCACTGTCTATTTTAGCCCTCCTTCCGTGGTCCTTCACTTTGATTTACCCTTCAGTTCCTGTGAAGTAGCTTCTTTACTATTTATTCCTGTCCTCATTACATCCCTATTCCCTCCCCCGTTTCCTCATCCTTTTCCTGAGTCCCTTTTCTTCATGTACCTTCTACCGCTAAAACTGACACGTGCTCAAAGGAAGTCTTGCCATTAAGGCATATAGGGCCACATATGTCCTCACTGCCTTTAAACATAACATGTTAAGTAATAAAAGCTCATTTGTCATTAATTTACAAGAAAGATAATCACCCTCATGTGTTTGTTATAAAACTGGTCATTCTTGAGTCATGACCAGTACTTCCTCAACTCATCAAGCCTGGCTTGTAACCTCAAACATTTTCTTTTTACCACTGCAACAAAAGCTAAAGGAAACAAGGAAACAATATGGCCTCTGCCTCAAAGGGCCACCAGTAACACTGTTTCTTATCCGCTTGGTTGCATCATTAAAGTTACAGTTTGACATTTTAGTTAATATGCTTCTTTGGCTTCTAACGCAGCGTCCAAACGGCGTCGTGCGTTGAAGCCATAGGTTGAAGCTTGCCGACAGGCGTGTCTGAAACTCGACCAACAACCAATCACATGAATCTCCCGCCCCGGACACACAATCAGCGGTTTGATTGGCTAGAGCTTGTACTGGCATATGACTTGATTGGCTGACGCTTCCGTCGAAGCTTCAAAAGTTGAACATGGCTCAACTTTTGAAGCGAGCAACGCGAGCAAAGCGAAGCGAAGGAACCACAATGCAGTTCAGCAAAGCGCGACGCCACCCCATTCAACGTCACTTTGAATGGGCAGTGCAGAAGCGTTGAAGCTTCAACGCACGCCGCCGTGTGGACTCTGCGTTACAGAGAACATAGAGGAAAAAATTGATACCCCTCTCTTGTCTCTGCATGTGTTTAAAAATAAGCTCTTCTAAAGCTCACTAATCAACAGATTATATTTAACATATTATTTCTTGTTTGTTTAACTTTGGAGCTACCCAAGCTTGCTCTTTCCTTCTTGGATCAAGCCTTTATGCTAAGCTACTGCACTCCAGTCTCACAAGTGAGTGTTATTGATCTCCTCCTCTTACTCTCTGTAAAGTAAAATAGTGTGCATACCAAAATATGATATGCCTTTTCTTTAAAGTGACAGTAAAATCTTATGGAGTTCACTCTTACTTTAAAATAACCGGTGAATATATTGGGCTTCAAATATTAGTAGTTGCAGAATTCCTTTCATAATGACACATATACTCAAATTTTAAGTCAGGTTTTATGTTGTCCACCGCATTGCGTCTCATATGGACATGCGTTATTGACTTGAATTCCTTTGAGCCATTTTACTTCTTGAATCCTGTGTAGCAAAGACAGACAATTTATGTATTTTCATTATTTAACGTAAATAGACTGTTACAGAAAAGTCTCAGATGAGTAGAATCCTAAAGGTTAGTTACCATTGAAAATATAGTCAGGTTAAAAATCGTGCCCCCAAATGTCCCTGCTCCACACGGCTGCTTTGTATGTTAGTAGTATTTAAAAGGCAGCTCGGCTCAGGGCTGTCCCTCTCCCCTTGCTCCTGATGCTAGCTGGAGCTGGGCAGGAATACCAGCAGATTCCCCTCTGCTGATGTCACCCGGCTGGACAGACACTTGTTATGTATCATGGTCACACTATTAAATTCTCACTGAAGTCTATTTAGGCCCCAAGGAGGCTGATGGTGGCATTGCATTACCTACTGGGTAAGAGGAGACAGAGAAAGAGAGGCTGGGTTGGGTTGAGAGGACGAGGTAAAGAGGCAGTACAAGATAGGGAGAGAAGAACAGAGGACTGAAGAGACAAGCAAGAGAAAAGAAACGGATGTAAATGACCATTTCCCTAAT